AGTTATTTAACCCCAACTGGTGCAATGAGTTACTTCTCATTTCTTAAGCAAAAATGTTGAAGGACACATAACGTGGTCATGGAAAAAATGTCAGTCTGTTTAAGAAGGGTCAAATCATTGGCATGCATCAAGCAGAGAAAACATCTGAGATTGCAGAAACCACTAAAATTGGGTTAAGAACTGTTCCAACGCATTATTAAAAACTGGAAGGTTAGTGGGTACCCATTGTCTTCAAGGGAGATATGTGGCTGTAAAAAAAATCCTGAATGAACATGATCGGCGATCACTTTAAACGTTTGGTGAAATCAAATCTAAAAAAACAACAGTAGCACTCAGGGCTATGTTCAATAGTGAAAGTAAGAGCATTTCCACATGCACAACACAAAGGGAACACAAGGAATTGGGACTGAACAGCTGTGTACTCTTAAGAAAACCACTAATCAGTGAGGCTAACCAGAAAAAAAGGCTTCAATTTGCTGGGGAGCATAAAGATTGGACTCTGGAGCAATGGAAGAAGGTTATGTGGTCTGATGAGTCCAGATTTACCCTGTTCCAGAGTGATGGACACATCAGGGTAAGAAGAAAGGCAGGTGAAGTGATGCACCCATCATGCCTTGTGCCTAGTCATCAACAACATATCTTGGTGAAAAATTAAAGCAACACTAGATGGAAATAGATCTTGTGACATTGCAGAAGCTTATTGGAACAATGCCACTGCGAATGCATGCCGTAATCAAAGATAAAAGGCAGTCCAACAAAATATTAGTGAGTGAACTTTTTTTTTGGTGGCAACTTTTTTTTTTGGCCAGGCAGCGTATCTTACGAATTGGAATAGAAGCCACTGAAGGAAAAGCAAGGTCGTGGGTTTTCTGGTGATCCAAGCAGGGATGAATATCAGTGTAGAAAGGAGCAGGCCGACACAGGCTGAATTGTTTGTAGATGATGGTTTATGGGACAACATTGATCCACAGGTGTGCCACAGAGGAGCAAGGAGGTCTTTGGAAAGACTAAGGTGAGCAGCACATGGGAGTCCCTGAAGAAAACCACAACAGGTAAGAACCGGCTGTAATTTAATGGTAAGTTGGCTGTCCATTATTTACTGTATGACAGTTGATGTCCCAGCCCTGAAGAGACATCTGGCAGGAGTTTATTTACACCACCAGGTCCTCCTCAGTCTGCAGCAGTTGGGATGAATCATGTGATGATTTGCTTTGGAGAGAGTGAGTGGCAGAGAGAACTCTGGAATCCTACAGTTCAGATTAACCAACCAACAGCTTTAATCCAGCTAGTGAGTAATGACTTTTTACAAGATTGAGAAAACTGTAGTGGTGTCATCATTTAGTGTGAAAAATGTCTTAACATCCCTTTTCATTTGACAAAGTATTGCACTTTGTTGGAGTTCTGCAACCAAACCACTTATTGAAGTAGCTTGTGTTAACAGCTTGCGTTTGTTTTCCAGCAGTACACTAAAAACAACAAATACATGTTAATGGCATTGTGGTTTGTGGACACAAGAAAATCAACCCAGAATGATCAAACAGGTCAAACTGTTGTAATATCCAGATCAAAATCTAGATCAGTTTATAAAAAAAAGTTAAAGTAAACTCTTTCATGGAAAACCAAGCCAGCATTTCCACTCCACTATTATCAGCTACATATCTGTTGGGTAATAAAGAGAGACACACAAAACTGGAAATGTGAGGTTCCGTAACAATACCAATGCGGAGAAATGGCCTCCATTTTGGCCAATCCTCGTGACACACCTCGATCACTCCCATTACTGATTCAAACCTCAGCAGCCTGAGGGAGAAGTGTGATCTCAAACAATCCCCCCCCTAAAGCATTAATCTTTATCGCATTACACGTCATCGGTTGACTGATAGGTTCACCAACAGCGTAAATGAATAAAAGCACTAGTTTCACTTTTCAACGGCATCTTTCTTTCAGCAAGCGCTACTGCTGCTGTTGCTGCTGTTGCTGCTGCTTGGACCAAACATCACAACAAGGTAAAATCTGACTGTTTTTCTACATCAATACTGAAAGAAAAAAGTCAGTCTCGGCCTGATTACATTTATGCTGTATAATAATAGTAACAAGACATTTCTTATAAAGCCTTGGTGTTAAAATTAAGTTAACGTGTTTAACAAAAACTACGTTTATTGTTTAACTGTATTAGGACATTTAAAACTTTTAGAGACAATCCATTTAAATCATGTCTGAAAAATAATGACTGATATTGCAGTTTGGATATTTTTTACTCTAAGTTTCTGTCTGAACTGTAAATTTACACTGATGTTTGCACAGATGTCATCAGGTCTGCTCTTCATGTTGCTTTGTGGATTGGGGATTGGAGGAAATGTAAGTTTACACACACAAAAAAAATTAATAAATAAATAAAATAAACTTAATATATATTTATAATATATACCAGACAAGAACATGTTGAATCTTTTTTTTAATATGTATTAGAAAAAAGTAAAAAAAAAAAAAACTTATTTAATAAAATTCTTTACATACATATTATTGGTACTTCTCACCTTTTGTTGCATTTGGGATCAACATTCATGCTCCAAATTAAAAGGTTGAATTTTGTTTCTGACTCTGTGTATTTTTTACATCCACAGATACTTTGTGATGCAGGTTGGTGGTTTTCTTTATCATTTTTTATTTTATTTTTTGTTCCGGTTAAGTTTTATAAACAGTACACCAGATATTCTGAACAACAAGGTTTTTTTTATTTATTTTTTTGGTTTAGGTGATCCGTGAAACCACAAAATGTTTAGTATGTTAAAACACACTCTCCACAAAGATGTTCTTTAAACCAAGTTTGTTGTCAGTGGGATTTAAATCAATGGAGACAGGTAGAACCACTGCAGAACCTATTAGTATTTGTTACCCATTCTCCATTTTGTCTGATTTCTGGTTAGCTATTCCTCCCACAATTCAGGAAAAAAAAAAAAACAGGTAAAATATAAATCACAATGTGCAACTCCATAGGCAGTAGTTTGTAGGACATTTGGTAGAATCAATTTGTACAAAAGAGACTAAATCAAATCCAGCCATGTTTCTCTCAGAAAACATAAAATAAAAAAATCAGCATGGAAACATCATTAAACAGGACACAGAAAGTTGGACATTATATGTCAAAAATGGCATTTAATTTATTTTTAATACTTTTTCACAATCACAGTCTAAGTTTTGTAGTTTTTCAAGACATCTCCACAGAGATTGCCTGCTATGCTATTTAAACTTTACAAAAGTTTATCAAAATGAACTTCTTGGTCCCTCAAACTTTACACTTCCACAGTTAATAAATCAAAATGTACACTTGTGGTTTTAATGTACATTTAAGTTGAATAAAATTGTAACTGGATTTTTTCTCTCAAACCTTAAGTGGAAAAACTTTAATAATTCATATCTCACAGCAAATGAACTGCAGATAAATAAATGGTTGTAGTTCATGCAATAGTGTCATATTATTAAAACCTTATTTTGGTCATTTACTACTTTTCAATCATATTTAATAAAAATCACTTTTTCTTCTGTTTTTGTAGGTTGCAGTAATTGTCAAATATGCCCTCCTTCATGGACTTTATATCAGAGCCGCTGTTTCTTGTTCAAGAGTACTGAAATGACCTGGGGTGATGCTGAGGTACAACTGTTTAACTCTTCATTATATTTGTGTGACATGATGGTCCAGATTAACTGTCGGGGGCAGGTGTGGTTGAGTGGTTAGGGCAGTCGTCCTTCAGTGGGTGAGTTTTGGGTTTAATTATATCAGCATTCATATGTTGAAGTGACCCTGGGCAAGGCACTGAATCCCTCATTACCCCTGATGAGTGTCCCGTCGGTGTATGAATGTGATGTAAAGAACTGATTAGTCTATACAGATTCTTATTAGCTTTGTAGACATCTAGTAGAGTCCTGTATGAATGTGGGTGTGTCAAGGTAAATAAAGGCACATATTGTGTTGTAAAGCACTTTGAGTATCTTGAGTAGATAAAAAGGTGCTACATAAGTACAGTCCATGTACTGTTTTTGAAGTTAAAACTTTCCATCATTACAGTTTTGAAGTGAGAATGTTCTTCAAAAGAGAAGCAGAACTATGGAAATCAAGAACAGCTGTTCCTACTATTTTCATGTTTACTAGATGTATCTCATTCACAAGTTAAATCTTCAATTACTTAAAATGTTCTTGATGATAATATTATGGTGCAAAACAGGATGTTTCTTATGTTACAACCAACTGCATTTTACATAGCAATGTCTTAGACCTCTGTGGACGATCTAAGGCAGTAATATTTTCATTGGTCATGGATGATCCTTGATGTGACATTTTTAGCTTTAATCAGTTGCAACATGATAATTCTAAAAACATATGAAGACCAGTTTTAATCAGTGACTTCACATATAGGGTATGGCTGCCAAAGTTAGTTGTCCCCTGTACAACTAGCTCATGATGAAGATGCAATGCTTATGCTGCCATCTTTCCACACAGGCATATTGCACTGACCAAGATGGACATTTGGCTTCCTTTCGTGATGAAGCTGAGTATTACTTCATCAGGGGACTCATTGTGAAAGATTCTGGAACCAATACAAAATCTTGGGTTGGAGGCACCAAGGGACAAGTAAGGATTTTGTGTAGAACTCTAACTAGGAAAGAGGTTTCTGTAAATATTTTAACAATCAGGATGAATTGAAACAGTTGATGTTTGAAAACCTTCTCACAGGACGGTGATTGGACATGGAGTGATGGATCCCAGATCACCTACACACATTGGGGCCCAGGGGAACCAAACAATATGGGTGGACATGAGAACTGCATGGATATGAACTGGAATGGTACACAAGATAATAACTGCTCTTGAAACAGATGATTCCGTGTGAACGAAATACTTCAAATTTTTGATATTTTGAATCTTATTTTTTAAATTTTTTACAGGAGAAGATTACGTCAACGATGAAGTCTGCGACCAACTAAATGCTTTTATTTGTTATAAAGATGCATAAACCTGTCTTTGCTGGCCTGACAACATGAAGATTTCACTTCAAGTAGGAGGTCAATCCTCAAAGATGTCCCTTCTTGAGGACAACTGGTCAAATCTCCTGTATTACTTAGATAATTACCATGAATAAATGCATGTCCTCAAATGTTTTGGTCATTGTCTGTCTGAGGTAACATTAGGCAAACCATCATTTAAATGTATTAAATAACACGTGATTACAAACTGCAGAACTTGTCAGTGTCAGGTTTGTACAGCCCAACAAAATGGCTCATAACATATATATATATATATATAGTGTACATTTATATATATATATATATATATATATATATATATATATA